GAGGCGGAAGGTCGACTTTGCCGCTGGAACAGCACATGCCTGGAGGTTCTGCTTTGAACGTTTTGGCCTTATACTTGCCACATATGACATCCATCTTTCCGATTTGCGCCTTCGGATGGGTCGAGTAGTCGACCTGGGCGTCGTAATTCAATGCCATCATGAGTAAATCTTCTTGCCTAGACGTTTTTCGAGCGTGAACATGTTGAGCTACTGAATGCGCTGCACCAGTTTCCGCTCTTCGTAAAGCCTCAGTCCTCTTCGACTACTGTCGAGTCGAGATTCGCGCTGCTAAGCCGTCTCGATCTGGCTTGAGCGTTCCTCTATCGCATTTCCTTGAGTTAAGAATCACGGCTTTCCTATGATTCTGAGGCCCTCAAGCAGCAAGCCGCAGGCGAGTTTGCTAGAAATTTGCTCTACGCTGTTCCAGCGTTTGCGTTGTTCTCGCCTCGGCTATTCTGGCAAGGTTGCCTCCTAGCTGTTCCTGTTCTTTACATATGACTAAGGCAACCGGTTGCCTTAGTCATATGTAAAGATGTGTGTGCTTTAAAAGGAAATTACTCTTCTAAACCGATTCGGACCAAACTTTGCACATAGGCGCTGGACGGGGTTGCCGTAAGCTACAGCGTGAGAGCCCAGACATTCGTTATCGATCCTTATCGATTTTATCATTTTTTGCAAATTTCGTGCTAAGCTAGGGATCAAGAAATAAGTGAGCATGGTGATCACGAAAACATAGTGAGGGCAGGGTACTGATAAATAGAAGTTCTGTAAGACAGGGAAATGGGTGTGAGAAACTAAGGCCGCAGGTACTAACATCCTCATCAGAGAGAGGCTTAGTGCACTTCATATTCTGAAGCTCCAGATGTCTGGGCTCTCACGCTGTATCCCTATTCGTAAGTATTCTTTCCATGTTTCATTAGGAACATATTGAACAGGAGCGAGAAAATCGACAACACGCATCTTCTAGCTTTTTGTATGATTTCCTAATGATCGCGGTGGCAAATTGCTTTTTCTTCAGCGTCAATTTGTCGCTGAAGAAGTTTGAAAAAACGACCATTTTTCGCTCTTAAAAATGCACCATTTTTCAAGAAAGTGAATATAGAGTCACCTCGTTCTGCACAGGACGGGCCAAATTTTTGACTATTGTGGGCATTGTTGGGGTAGGGCCTTGCACATTTTTTGAACCCATCATCTAGGCCTGCCGATCCCTGCAGAAGCGATGGCAGTTGCGAAAACAGTTTCACTCAAAGCCAAGTTCGACAGCTTGTAGTTTATGATCGCAAAGCGCAAAACTTGAGTGTAGTTGCGGGTAAGAAGTTGAAAGGTTTCCCCATTCAGATCATTTATGATTTGGACGAAATTCTTTGAACTGCAGAAAAA